AACTGGATGACCCAGATGCAATTTCGATCTTTGAAAACAAGCCGTTTATATAATCCATGCCAAGCAAGGAGGCGAGAGACTCGGAGATGTGTATGACATAATGATGTTTATATTGATGTAGATAAAGATTTGTTTAAACCGAAGTTATTAACTCAGCCCTGAGTGTTAGTCCATCACCCAGAGCTCCTTGGGAATCCGGAGGCCCACACTGCCACCCCGGCTCACTGTCTTCCCCTCCCCCACTTTTCAGAAGCCAGAGGATGCCCGCTGCATCTTGCACTGTAGTGCAAACGGATCCCCGCAAAGGGAGAGGAAGATAAAATGAATTTAAATTCCAAAGGGGTTCCAGTGCCGGTTTCCTAGTCCCCGAGTCAGCAATGTGTTTGTGAAAATTCAGCCTTTTTGTCTCCCAGTAAAAAGGAGCTAAATCTACATCGGTGGCCCAGTCTCGGGTTGCTATTCTTTGCATTTTCTATTCGAGTGAATGAGAGTGAATGAAGTGGCCGGGACCCTCCATTTGATCTACTCAATTGCATAAAGTGACAGAATTCTAATATATTTGTTTAATGCTCTTCAATGGGCTTTCACTTTTTTTTGCTTGCAAATGAAGCATCTGTGGGCCAAGTTTCGTCCCCCTTTAACACGGAGACATATTTCATAACTCAGGCCGTGGTTTGAAGTGATCTTGAGAGGAGTTTTAGACTCAAAAAGTGGAAAATAAAGAAACAGATGTGAAGTTATTGTAGATTCCTAGAGTGGGCTCTGGGGCTATTGTGCCCCCACGGCGGGCGGTCCCAGGGCTGTGCCTTTCATGCTGTAATTGAAACATATTAATTAGATAATTTGTTGTTAGTTTAGAAGAAACAAATGCATCCCCTTTGAGGCTTCACAGCCGGTGGTGGGGTGGGTTGTTTTTGTTTTGCTTTTTGTTTTGTTTTGTTTTGTTTTGTTTGGGTGTCTCTGTGCATATGTGGCATTTAGGAAGAAAAAAAAATGACATTTATGTTAAGAATTTGAGAACAGACCCAGATCCTTTCCGTTTCTTAAATGGATACCTTGTAACGGGGAGTTGCCATTTGTATAAGTAAAGCCCTTCCCTCCCCTCCCCACCTTGCATGAGCTAATGGAAAACCTGTTTGCAGCACTTCATTAGATTCCTGGTCCTCCCCGCCCCGCCCCCTCCCCAGCTTCACCCCTCTTCAGCACCTGGCCACATTTATGCTTCCAAACACTCAATGCTCCTGTCTCTTTCAAAGGCATTGAACTCGCTGCTGTAATATTTAAGCCATTCTGAGGATCATTCACTAGCACCTCTTCTGATAGTCTTACACTTTTCCAAACCCCAACCCAGGCAACAGGACTAATGAGAACTTCTGTAGCTTCTTGCTTGAGAAAGGGGACAAAATTCATCCATTGTGCAGGCATTTCCCCAAACCACAGAGAAAGCCTTTAAAAAAACTGAGTGCAGAGTCATGTTAAAAAGCAAAAGTAACAGAATAGCCAAGTTTCCAAAATCAAACACCTACATTAAAATAAAATAAAAAAACTATCCTGCCCAAATTTACAAAATAGAAAATAGTATAACTTAACTTGATTCTCAAGATAAGACCGGAGCATACATCTCACTGTATGGGGGTGTCTCTCCCAGTTTTATTTTGAAGCTGTGTGTATTGACTTTGGACTTGAGCCAGGTGAAAAGATTTAACATGACAAAGAGAGCCATTGAAGGTATCATGGTTATAAACTTCCTTATTTGTGGGGCACTTCAGCTAAACAGGGGGTAAGTCTCAAAGCTGAGGATAGAGTTGGGGTGGAGGCACGTGTTTTGGGCTGCCTTTGGATTTCTCATCAAGGTCAAGATATCATCAATGGATTTTTTACTTTACTCATTCAACTTCATCTGAGAGGAGATGCTTGCTATTGTGAAAAGAGACCTCACAATGCCCAAGTTATTTCATTCTTTGCAATACACCATGATGAACTCACCAGCTGAAAAGGACATTTTCAAGTACTGAGTTGAAATCACTCCTTTGCTAAAACTCAGAAATATAAGATCTGCATCTTCTTTATTTCCATTTATTAAATGTATGTATGTACATACAACTTAACTCTGAACCCTATTGGCTAGTCTAGGAAGAATATTTTATCTAACTAGCTAAGCTGATAATTTGTAAAATGTTTGAGGCCCATGTCTATCTATATGGTTCCTTCATTCCCATTTTGAATTCAGTGTTAGGAAAATGGATTAAATTATAATATCCCAGAGGTGGCCTTAATTTTATTTTGTAGGAAATGATGAAACAGTATTTAATTTTTTTAAAAAAAAAATGCAGATGACTTATTGTTGAGAACAAAGTTTCAAGAATTTCCTAGCCCAGGATGGACAAGTTTTCCAGGCTTTCTTTAGCTGATCTTGTTGATATAATTGTGACTTGGGCTTGATGAATGAGTTTGGTTGTCCCCTGTCTGACGAGCTTTAGTAGCTTCATGCATTTTAATCAGTCCAATGATTCATTTATTTTCTTTTTTTTTTTTTCTTGGCTGTGTGTGGGATCCTTCCTTTAAAAAAAAAAAATGGTCACAACAGGATTAATTACCCTTTGCATTAATCCCAAATTTTTTTTCAGATAGCCCTCTAAATACCTAAGGGTTGCAGGTGCCAAGGATTTTCCTTATAGAGCATGATTTCTATGTGGGTTTCCCTGTGTTGCACAGTCTCTTGTTTAATCATTTTACATAGTAAAGTGTTAATCACCATTTAAGTTTGTCTTTGTCTTGCAACTACATTAGTTGAATACACCCCTCACTCTGGAAATATTGTGAGCCCTTCAATAAAGTTTCAACGGTCCTTGAGCCATAAATACTTGGCACATTTTAATTCTCTGCAAATATCTGAGGAAAAGCAAATACGTAGAGTGGAGCATTTTGAGTAACTCCATTTACCTCTTTAAAATAAATGCTCCAAACATTATTTTCTCACAGGAAGGAGTAAAAAGCTGTTCAATTCAAAGTGAACAGCTTTCCACATGCAAGGTGGACTTTCAGGTAACTTCTGAAAAAGAAAATTTCAACAACTGCAAGGCAATGACTACTCACTCCAAAATAAGATGTGCCAGGATATAAGCATTGTGTAGGCAAGTCTGGTTTTGTATCTCCATCTACCTGATTTCTACATCAGCCTTGCAGTTATATAAGTGCTGGTTATGTTGTGTAAAATGTATATTTTAAGAGACAAAAATATATATAAAGTACTGTTTTTTCAATGCAGTCTTTCTCTCAGCACTACACCTGTGCACCTAATCTACACTGGAAATAGACTGCTCCCTCTGCAGCCATGTCTTCAAGAGTGCATCCGAATAACTGTTCTCCCAATCTGCGAATGCCTGAGAACTTCGCCTGTTTTAAAAATAAGATCTGGACAAGACAAACTACTCAGACAATGCGCTGCAGAAAGCATGCTTAGGGAAGCACTACCTCTATCTTTTGTAAAGTGACTGCAGAAACTTCAGAACCACACAAAACTAAACTTTGAGTTTACATATTTTAATGAGAAAATATTATTTGGACTAGGTTCATAATTTAATGTAGACACCTTCTTTTAAAATTCTCTGTCTTAAAACAGGCATGCTGGGAACAAGAACATCAATATTTAAAATGTCATGCTAATTCTCTACAAGGAGGGAGAAAAATGAAAGATAAAATTGTACAGCTCTGATGACACTACAACTCTTTTTTTTAAACTTAAGCAGATCACACCAGAACAACAGTTCATTTTCTCAGCAAATTACCTAAGACTCTAAAGGAATATAGCAAACAAAAGTGCATTTTACACAGTGTATAATCATTCCTATTCACAAGCATTTACAACTCCTTGCAGCCCTTAGCTTCTTGGAAAACTTGTAGCAAACAGAAGGACTTGTCCCTGGGAGATCTATCCGGTGACATTTCCTCCAAGTTACCAGTCAGTTCATCTCAATTCTTCTAGGGTTGCCCTTGATGCTTTCTTAGTTTGGGCTTACTTCATTTTCTTTTTCCCCCCTTCCCAACAATAAAATAAATAGCTATAAAGGTATCTAAGTAACCGGAAAGTTAACATCCCAATTAACTCTCCCCTCCCCCTCTCCCCTCCCCTAAACCTGGCCAGAAATAAAGAGTAAACATTCACATTACAACAGGTACTTGTAAAATGGGCTTTGCCCCCTCGCCCGCCAAGCAGTACAGATTCAAGTTCACTGTTTACATTTTACCGGGCGCTTTGTAAACAATACAAGGTTACATTTAGTTTTGTTTTGCTTGTGTTCAAGACAAGCCTCCCCTCCCCAGCTCGGCAGCCTCTCCCCCTAACTCCCAACGCCCAGAGCCTCGGGCAGGGCGCAAAACCCAAAGCAAAAAATTCTGCGCAAGCCGAGGAGGCAGGCCCGCTACCCCGGGAAGCTGCGGTCAGCCCAGCCCCTGCCGGATGGGCGGAGGCGAGCGGGGTAGGGAGATTAGCGGTCTCTCTTCGTAGCAGATTTCCAAGACTTGAACAGAGAGATCCGGCCCTCGGATGGGAGGCGGCAGCCCTCAGGGGGTGAGGTGTTCGAGGACACCTCCGAGCCGGTTTCTCTGGTCTTGGAAAAAACTGTGCGGAGGCTCGAGCCCCGCCAGTGCGGGCCGAGGGAAGACGCGCTCCTCCCGGTGAAGGCGGGAGGCAGGATTTCCCCTGCCTCTTACACGGGAGGGTTTCCAGGGCCCCGGGGATGGGACGGCGAGGCTCAGGTGCCCCTGCCTTCCCCTCTTGTGAGGACGAGAACAACTCCCACGCGCCTCCAGGCCCCTCCGCAAGTTTGTGTTGTGTCTCCGGGTCCAAAACAAAGTTCTCGGGGGAGAGAGACGGCTGGCTGAAAGTGAATTGACACGGTAGGGCGGCGGCCCCGGGTCCGGGAGGGCAGGACGAGGAGCCAGGGACGGCGAGTGCGCTAGCGGGATGGAGAGCCCGAGGGGGCGCCGGCGCCGCGGGGTCAGTGCACCGCCACCGAGTGCAAGGCCGAGGCGGGGCTGGTGAGCGTCTCGCTGGGAGTGGCGGGGCTGCTTTGGCTGGTGGCTGTCTGCGAGGACGTGGGGCTGAGGGAGGGGGGCGAGTTCGAGAGCAAGGCGGGGATGGGCGCGGGCAGCGCGGGCAGCGCGGGCACCGCTGCCGGCGTGGGCTTGATGGGCACCGGGATGGCGGGCAGCGTCTGGCCCGCCGCGTGGCACAGCGGTTTCAGCGGCACGCCGTAGGCGCTGTACTCGCCGCTGGCCATGGAGATGGGGGTGGCTGGGTCGATCATGCCGGCAGAACCGTACACGTGCGGCCAGCCGGTGCCCAGCGAGCTGCCCATGGTAGTCAACTGGTTGGGGAGCGGGTAGGCGGCGGGGACGGGCTGCATGGCGGAGAAGGCCAGCCCCCCGGGCATCTTGTACTCGCGGGCGATGATATTCTCGATGGCGAAGGGGTGCTTGAAGCCCGAGGGCTGCGCCACGCCGCCCAGGTTGTAGGCAGCGGCGGGCATCTGCGGCAGGTGCGTGCCCGAGGCCGCCAGCGCGCTCAGGCGCAGCTTGGCCTGCTGCTGCAGGTACTGCGCCGCGTCGGCGGGCTTGCTGGGCGTCAGGTGGTCCGACTTCAGGACCTTGAAGCGCTTGCGGCGCCGCAGGAAGCTGCCGTTCTCGAACATGTCCCCGCAGCTGGGGTGCAGCGCCCAGAAGCTGCCCTTGCCCGGCTGGTCCGGCCGCCGCGGGATCTTGATGAAGCAGTCGTTGAAGGAGAGGTTGTGGCGCAGGCTGTTCTGCCAGCGCTGCGTGTTCTCCCGGTAGTAGGGGAAGCGGTCCATGATGAACTTGTAGATCTCGCTCAGCGGCAGCATCTTCTCGGGCGAGCTCTGGATGGCCATGGCGGTCAGCGAGATGTACGAGTAGGGCGGCTTCTGGTCGCTGTACGTGTTGCGGCCGGGACGAGGCATCTTCTTGTTGGCCCCCTTCTTCCTCTGGGTCCGCGCGGGCCTGTGGCTGCTCAGACCTGGGAAGGGGGAGAGAGAAGGGGAGGGGGCATGGATGCCCGGACACCCCGAGGTCAGCCAGACCGCCTCCAGGCTCCGGGTGCGGAGGGTCGGGGCTGCGGCGCTGGACCAGCCCGCGCTGCGCTCCTTAGCCAGCAACTTTGCTTGCAGAGGGGCGCGCAGCCGGGGAACAGGGAGGGGGGGGGGGGCGCGAGCGGCGCAAGAGTAGCACGGAGATTAGCCGGACCTGGAGCGGGGACCGGGCAGGGATGCAACCAAGAGCAGCTCACCTTAAAGTTGCTCCAAGTTGAGCGTGCGCATCCGGGATGGCGCTGCTGCTCGCTGCGTCCCGCCCAGCCAGAAGCCCGGGCACAGAGTCCCGTCTCGGCCGGGCTCCGCACAGCTCTGCGCTCCGCAGCTGAGCCCGGCAGCGCCTGCCGCCTGGTCCGCAGGGCTTCTGGCTGTTGGCTCCGCTGGCGACAGAGCTTGGCCGCTGAGTCTCGGCGAGGACGGTGGCAGCGGCAGCCTCGGGGCTCCGGAGGGCGCTGCTGTGGGCTCCGCGGCTCCGCTGAGCTAGGTGGCTGCCTCCATGTCCTCCCTCAAACCATCTGATAGTTTTAAGCGGTGACAGGAGCAGAAAAGACCCCTGTAGCGGCGCTTCATTAATGTGCCACTTCTTAGCTATCATATGACAATCGCCTTGGGAGGAGGAGGAGGAGGAGGGGGAGCGGGGGCTGCGGAGGGAGGGGATTGAGCTCGAGGGGGAGAGCCTGGCCAGCTCCGGTTTCTTTCACACCTATTTACATGGACACCTTGGCCAATGGTAATCACTTCCAGCTCCAGCCTGGGAAGAGCCTGGACCACCGGCGGGGAGCGGGACGCGCTGGCCAAGGTGCTCCCTGTGAAGGTATGAGGCGGCGGCGGCAGTGGAGCCGGGATTCAGGCGACCACTCACGATCACAGACCGAGCTGCCGCGCGGATGATGTTTGACATGGAAATTGCTGGGCCGGGGTGTTTTGTTTCCTCCGCATTGTATCGGGTTTGTATTGTTAGCTAACTTCAGGCGCGTCTTCCCCCTGAAGCTGACTCTTTTCCTGCGCTTGGCATTACCCGGGGCGGGTTGCATGGGTTATGATAATGAAAATATGCCCCCGTCCCCCCGCCCCCCCCCCCCACAATTCTCCAAGAGGCAGGTCAGAGTTTGATTTGACCTTCCTAGGCTGCTGCCTTAGCTCTGCACAGTGTGTGTGTAGCTTTAAGTGGTGGGTTTAAAGAACACTTAGAAAAACATAGTGGGGCAGCTCCATAAGAGCCCGTTTTGAACCTAACTGTATTGACACACACACGCAATTTTTTTTTTTTTTAGATTAAAATAGTGTATCTGGGCGAAGAGGCTAGGTCTTCACTCTAAAAGTTCTCCGGGATTTGATTAGACACGGGATGAAGGCTCCAGGGCTGTTGGGACAGACAGTGTGCAGACCTGGGAGGGCCCGCGTGTGTTTGACAACACTTTGTCACCAGATGAACTGCAGTCTCTTGCTTTTCCCCGGTGGTTTGAAATGTTGGTAGTTAGGTGTTGCCTGGAAGTTTGCATTTTACAGCTGGAACTTTCCCTCCCTCCCCCCTGATTTTTGCATAAAGAGAACTTATTTAGGGTTTGGAGAGGCCGGCAAAAGCTGCCTGGGCCCTGCTGAAACAGCAGTACCTTCTAGGCTCGAAAAGACCAGAGAGCTTAACTTCCTTTTGAGAGAGGAGAGGGTGGGGTATGCTTTGGGTCACCTGGTCTGGTGCAGGGGGACAGGCTCCCTACCGTTCAGATTCATCTTGGGAGGGTCAATGAGCTGTTATTATTATTATTATTATTATTACCACCGCCGTTGTTGTCGCCATCATTGTCAGATTGCTATGAAATAGTGAGTCGACCCACTGGCTTGCAGGAAGTCTAAGAGTAGATTCTAGGAGCTCCCACTGGTGTCTGCATATGCTTCCACCTGTATGGTTTTTAAAAGAGATTTATTTTATCATGTTGTTAAAAACTCAATACCTGCAGCCCGAATTGAATCATCTTCAGTCCGGAAATGTGAGCATGTTTCTTTTTCTTTTTTGGAGGAGGAGGAGGAGGAGGAGGAGGAGATAGGAGAGTTCTGGGTGTGAAGTTTTGATACTGTTAGTGATATTAGCATGATCAGTGGAGCTATTATATGGGGGTTATTATATATATTTTTATATATGTGTGTGTGTATATATATATATACATATATATATATTCTTCCAGCTTGCGTGTGCACACACACAAGCACATACAAACACACCCACATTAACCACAGTCTCAGAGTTGGTCAATAACTCACCAAAACGTAACTTAAACACGATGAATTTAGGAGATTAAACAATTTCATTAATATTGAAATGGCTCTCCTGTCTGGGCTGCCTCGCTTGAGATGCAAGCGCACGTTTTTCAATATTAACAGAAGTGCTTGAAGGAAAGAATAATGTCACCTTCTTAATTCGGAAGTAATAACCAGGAGGAGGAGGTGGGTGGGAGGGGTGAGGGAGGGATGCTGACCTGTCTCTGGGGGCAGATCAACCCTCTGCCGCTGAACCCACTGGACGGGGGGCAACCTCTGCCGAGCTTTGGCTGGAGGCGGCTGAGCTTGGCAGAGCTGTGCGCTTCAGCTCCTTAGGAGGTGCGGCCTTTGGGGGGCTACTTGGTTCGGCCCCATTGGGCTTGAGGGTCCGAGGATGGGAGGAGCTGGGGAGCCCAAGAGCCCGAGGGACCTCTGACAAGGAGCAGTGGTGAGGCTCGTGTTTCCCAGATGGAAAGGCATTGGCCCACAGTTTTCCTTCTTCAAAGGCAGCTGGTCTCAGAGTTACACCACAGAAGGTACTCCTGTGGGCGAGGCAGGAGCGCTCCTGGGAAGGAGTGGTGCCAGGATCAGAGTCCTCTTAGTAAATATGTGAATACCGATATATAGAATATAGAAAAATACTGAGTGATATGGATTCGGGATATGGAGCGATAGGAGTGAAAGATCTCTGTTCCCCAGTGACAGCCAGGAAGATTTTCTCTACCGGTGGGTGGGTGTGTGTCCATCTGTGAGCTCTCTCTCTCTCTCTCTCTCTCTCTCTCTCACACACACACACACACCACACTGAGGGTGGGGGATGGGGAGAGAAATGTTTTCTTGTTTTAACAATTGGCATTTTGTTGCCTTGCAAAGGGCCTTTGTATGGCTGTTGAAATCATTGCTTGGAGTAAATAGAAGATTAACTAAATTCTGAGGGGAAACCTTTGGGTTAAAAAAAAAAAAAAAGCCAAGTTGGAATAAATCTTTGTCTATCTCCCCAGGAAAGTTGTCCCCACCAAGTCTGGGACATGCAAGGTTACAAGTAGGAATCCGTGCCTGAGGGATCTTCAGAGTTTGGCCAGGGTGGGGTTGGGAGGTGAAGCCCATTGCCTATGCCCAGTGTTCATGATGGAAATCGAACCTACCAGCACAAGTTGGAGGAGTTGTGAGCCGCACATTTAAAACTGGCCCTTTGCTACAAAGTGTGTCTTGTGTCTTGGTTCCTACTGAAGATCTACAAAGCCCAGGGGGAGGGGGGGGGAGGGCTTGCATGCTATTTACGGCCTTTTAAGACTGCTATTATGAAGAAGAGGGGGGAAGGAGCACTTTAAGAAATCTTGAAAAGTGCATCGAAGTCTATTGTACAGAACCCAAAACAAACAGAAGCTTTGGGGAGGGGGCACCGACCCGGAGGCTTAGGGAGCTGTTGGGAAAACTGTATAAAATACACATAAGTCAATTATACCCATGTGCAAACCAAATGGAAATCTCTCGCGCGCAATAGCCATTCATCGCCTCCGCTGTGCCCACCGCCGACCACCTTTCTGCTTGGAGAGTTTGCAATAGCCTCTTTTCCCACAAGCTGGACCACACACGGCTACAGATTTCGTAATAATTTATGCTAATTTCCCTCCATAAATCCACAATTCGCTTCAGTGGCACCCGGGCTGCCGAGGGAGTAAAAAAGAGACAGAGAGGTGACAAATACAATATTGATTTTGATTCCTTCTGTTGTCAAGCAGGTGTGTGTGTGCGCTCTCCAACGGCGGGGCTGGCGTCTGGGGGCGGAAGCTCCAGGAGAGGAAACCTTCCCGCGCCAGGCCGGCCCCTCCATCCACACTCCAGAAAGTAACGCGCCCTGGTTTGTTAATATTTACCAAACACCGGCGGCCTGGGGCGGAGGGAAAGTACCCAGTAGCTTCCGAAGGTTTCCTAGGCGCCAAAAACAATACCCGCCTTTCCCTCTTGGAAAGCGAACTCTGCGCTGCCTGGAGCGCTCGGGCTAAGCCTTCCTCTGCCCGCTGCTCCTCCTCCCTTTCTCCCTCAAGTCCTGCCTTCCCGCTGCTGAAGTATCTCCCCACCCCGGTCTGAGTCTCTGCTCCCTCTCCTCCTTCCGTCCCTTTCCCTACTGCACCCTTGTTCCTCACTTTTCTTTGCATCACTCCCCCCGCCCCTCCACTTTTTCCATCTTCTCACCAAATGGACTGTGCAATGTGCTAGTAGGGTGAGGGAGGGAGAAGGTCGAGGCTGGCGCAGCATCGATTTCAGGTTCTAGGGTCTCCTCCAGCCCGCCCCACCTTGCCAGGCCGCCTCCCACCTTCGCCCGAGTTCTCCCCTCTGGCTGGGAACCCGCGCTTAGGCACCACGCTGCTTTGTCCCAGCCGTCATTCTTCGCCAAAACTGCATTTGGGTGGCGTGAAACGACTTAGCTTTCCTTTCAAAAGGATTTTGTTCCCCGGGTATGTGGCACTAAAACAAACTCCCTCAACCTGTCAGCGACCGGTTTTTGAAAATTGCCCTTCGGAGTATTCTGCAGGCTGTTTGTGTGCCTCCGCCACCAGCACCCGTCATGGCCCAGCTTGGCTCTAACGTCCTGGATCTGGGGGGGCGGACCC